AGGATCCCAATGGCCTGGCCACAACCCAGAAGACTGGAAGGAAGAGGATGCCAATGGCCTGGCCTCAAACCAGAAGACTGGAGGGAAGTGGATGTCAACGGCCTGGCCACAACCCAGAGTGCCGGAGGGAAGAGGATGCAAATGGCCTGGCCACAACCCAGAGTGCCGCAGGGAAGAGGATGCCAATGGCCTGGCCACAACCCAGAAGGCCGAGAGGAAAGAGGATGCGAATGGCCTGGCCATAGCCCAGAGTGCTGGAGGGAAGAGGATGCCAATGGCCTGGCAATAACCCAGAAGGCTGGAAGGAAGAGGATCCCAATGGCCTGGCCACAACCCATAAGACTGGAAGGAAGAGGATGCCAATGGCCTGGCCTGGCCTCAACCCAGAAGGCTGGAGGGAAGTGGATGTCAATGGCCTGGCCACAACCCTGAGTGCTGGAGGGAAGAGGATGCCAATGGCCTGGCCACAACCCAGAGTGCCGCAGGGAAAAGGATGCCAATGGCCTGGCCACAACCCAGAAGGCCAGAGGGAAGAGGATGCCAATGGTCTGGCCATAACCCAGAGTGCTGGAGGGAAGAGGATGCCAATGGCCTGACCACAACCCAGAAGGCTGGAAGGAAGAGGATGCCAACGGCCTGGCCACAACCCAGAAGGCTGGAAGGAAGAGGATGCCAATGGCCTGGCCACAACCCAGAAGGCTGGAGGGAAGAGGATACCAACGGCTTGGCCACAACCCAGAAGGCTGGAGGGAAGAGGATGTCAACAGCCTGGCCACAACCCAGAGTGCCGGAGGGAAGAGGATGCCAACGGCCTGGCCACAGCCCAGAGCACTGCAGGAAAGAGGATGCCAATGGCCTGGCCACAACCCAGAGTGCCACAGGGAAAAGGATGCCAATGGCCTGGCCACAACCCAGAGTGCCACAGGGAAGAGGATGCCAATGGCCTGGCCACAACCCAGAGTGCCGGAGGGAAGAGGATGCCAACGGCCTGGCCACAACCCAGAGCTCCGTGGGAAAGAGGATGCCAATGGCCTGGCCACAACCCAGAGTGCCACAGGTAAAAGAATGCCAATGGTCTGGCCACAACCCAGAGTGCCACAGGGAAAAGGATGCCAATGGTCTGGCCACAACCCAGAGTGCCACAGGGAAAAGGATGCCAATGGTCTGGCCACAACCCAGAGTGCCACAGGTAAAAGAATGCCAATGGTCTGGCCACAACCCAGAGTGCCACAGGGAAAAGGATGCCAATGGTCTGGCCACAACCCAGAGTGCCACAGGGAAAAGGATGCCAATGGTCTGGCCACAACCCAGAGTGCCACAGGTAAAAGGATGCCAATGGTCTGGCCACAACCCAGAAGGCCAGAGGGAAGAGGATGTCAACAGCCTGGCCACAACCCAGAGTGCTGGAGGGAAGAGGATGCCAACGGCCTGGCCACAATCCAGTGTGCCGCAGGGAAGAGGAGAGCAATGGCTGCTAGGGGAGCGAAGGGTAAAGTAACTGCTCTTTAATTGTACCCTTGTGTTGAGCCAGAGCTAGAATTCTGCAATCAACAGGGAGCTTTGAGCTTTGCGGTTTTTTAGGTCCGGCTCAACAGTGCGCAAGTTGGTCCTCTGCAGAGAGACCACTGCTTCCCTACAGAAAGCAAGGGTTCAACTCTGGCAGGGAACAGGCTTTTCAACTCAGACAGTGGCTACTTTATATAAAAAAAAAAAAACTATCTCTTTGCACACCATTTGTTTTGATGCAAGTTAGCTGGTTTAACCTCTTCCTGCCCAGCCCTGGCATTCTATTAAATCGGTGGGAGGGGCAGGATGGACTTACCAATCATGTGACTGTTGTGATTGGCTATCAGTGTGATTGCATGATTAGGAGTCTGTCCCATCGGCTCCCGCTCATAACTAGAGACCGAGAGTTGTTTATGAAACCTCAGCCGCCCGTGGATGCACATGTGCAGCATGTGGGCATTAAAGCTCGCCCTCTTTGCCGCCGCACCTATGCGTTACGCGGGCAGTGAAGGATTAAACTAAAAGTTTAATTGGGCTTTATTAAAAGAAAGTGTTCATACCCCTTGAAATTTTCCACATTTTGTCATGGTACAACCAAAGACGTCAATGTATTTTATTGGGATTTTATGTGATAGAAAAAAGGGGAAACAACCTGCACCAGACAATACAATATGTGAATAAATGTGTGAAAAAAAATATATATTCTGAAACAATTAGTGAACTGCTGCTACTCTTTCCCTGAACACCAGAAAATAAAAAACATAAAAAGTCACTGAAATGATAAAAGTCCACATACATACATTAAATAATTAAAAATCCCAAAATTCAATAATACAGTGATGTCTGCTAAAGAAATCCTCCAACGGAAAGTGCATAAGTGTCCACAAATGCTTGACACAAAAGAAAAAAATCAGCCTCTAACCAGACACTGTGATCTCCAAGCAAGAGATCAAACGAGCAGATGGTGTTCAGATCCCACACTGACACCCTAGTTGAACTAGGGTGTCAGTGTGGGATCTGAACACCATCTGCTCGTTTGTGGACACCTATGCACTTTCTGTTGGAGGATTTCTTTAGCACACAGCACGGTGTTATTCGATTTTTGGACTTTTAATTTTTTTAATATATGAATATGGACTTATTTAATTTCCATTAATTTATGCACATTTTTTATGTAGCAGTATTTATTTGATTTATTATTGTTTATGATTTTTTAGTGTACAGCACACTCATTTTTTTTATGTTTTGTATTTTCTGATGTTCAGGGAAAGAGTAGCAGCAGTTCACTAATTGTTTCACTATTGTTTCAGAATATATATTTTTTTCACACATTTATTCACATATTGTATTGTCTGGGGTGTAGCACAGGTTTTTTCCCCTTTTTTTTATCACATTTCAATTCATTTATGCATGTTTTTTATGTAGCAGTATTTATTTGATTTATTATTGTTTATGATTTTTGATGTGTACAGCGCACTAATTTTTTTATATATTTTATGTGATAGACCAACAAAAAGTAGCACATAATTGTGACGATGAAGAAAAATTAGAAATAGTTTTCACAATTATTTTACAAATAAATATCTGAAAAGTGTTGTGGGCATTTGTATTCAGCCCCCTTTACTCTGATACCCGTAACTAAAATCTAGTGGCACCAATTGCCTTCAGAAGTCACCTAATTAGTAAATAGAGTCCACCTGTGTGTAATTTAATCTCAGTATAAATACAGCTGTTCTGTGAAGCCCTCAGAGGTTTGTTAGAGAACATTAGAGAACAAACAGCATCATGAAGGCCAAGGAACACACCAGACAGGTCAGGGATAAAGGTGTGGAGAAGTTTAAAGCAGGGTTAGGTTATAAAAAAAAATCCCAAGCTTTGATCATCTCAGGGAGCGCTGTCCAATTCATCATCCGAAAATGGAAAGAGTTTGGCACAACTGCAAACCTACCAAGACATGGCCGTCCACCTAAGCCAGGCAAGGAGAGCATTCATCAGAGAAGCAGCCAAGAGGCCCATGGTAACTCTGAAGGAGCTGCAGAGATCCACAGCTCAGGTGGGAGAATCTGTCCTCAGGACAACTATTAGTCGTGCACTCCACAAATCTGGCCTTTATGGAAGAGTGGCAAGAAGAAAGCCATTGTTGGAAGAAAGCCAGAAGAAGTCCCGTTTGCAAGAAGCCATGTGGGGGACGCAGCAAACGTGGAAGAAGGGGCTCTCTGGTCAGAGGAGACCAAAATTCAACTTTTTGGCAAAATAGCAAAACGCTATGTGTGGTGGAAAACTAACACTGCACATCACCCTGAACACACCATACCCACCGTGAAACATGGCGGTGGCAGCATCATGTGGTGGGGATGCTTTTCTTCAGCAGGGACAGGGAAGCTGGTCGGAGTTGGTGGGAAGATGGATGGAGCCAAATACAGGGCAATCTTAGAAGAGAACCTCTTAGAGTCTGCAAAAGACTTGAGACTGGGGCGGAGGTTCCCCTTCCAGCAGAACAACGACCTGAAACATTCAGCCAGAGCTACAATGGAATCAGGGGCGGACTGACCATTCGAACACTCAGGCACTGCCAGAGGGCCCGGGGTCAGTAGGGGGCTCCATGAAATGCCCCTGGTACCTTTTTTATAGGCTTTTTTGAGTGTGGGCAAGGACACAGGGGCCCCATGATCCCCTATTGCCCGGGGGCCCCATGAGTTGTCAGTCCGCCCCTGAATGGAATGGTTTAGATCAAAGCATATTCATGTGTTAGAATGGCCCAGTCACAGTCCAGACCGAAATCCAATGGAGAATCTGTGGCAAGACTTGAAAACTGCTGTTCACAGATGATCTCCATCCAATCTGACAGAGCATGAGCGATTCTGCGCAGAAGAATGGGCAGAAATGTCCCTCTCTAGATGTGCAAAGAGACATCCCCAAAAAGACTTGCAGCTGGAATTGCAGCCAAAGGGGGTCCTACAAAGTATTGACTTCGGGGGGGGGGGGGGGGGGAGCTGAATACAAATGCCGCCACACTTTTCACAGATTTATTGGCCACAAATGTTGGAAACCATTTCTCATTTTCCTTCCACTTCACAATTCTAGGCCACTTTGTGTTGGTCTATCACACAGGTGTCAAACTGGCGGCCCTCCAGCTGTTGCCAAACTACAAGTCCCATGAGGCATTGCAAGATTGATAGTTTCAAGCATGACTCCCAAAGGCAGAGGCATGATGGAACTTGTAGTTTTGCAACAGCTGGAGGGGGTTTGACACCCCTGTCATATCAAATCCCAATAAATACATTGTAACATGACAACACGGGGAACATTTCAAGGGATTTGAAGACATTTTCAAGGCGCTGTACATTACAAAATCACTATTTATAGGTTTTCACAGATTCTTTTTTTATAATATATTCTACTATGTAATGATGATTGGCCAGTTAGGGGTGCGTTGTAGCGCTACGTCGTAATTCTCTGTCTCATTGTTTATGTCTCCATCCCCCAGCTTGCAGTTATGTGGCAGAGAAAATCGGAGGCCTGTGCCGTAAGAAGGAGGAAGATGTGGCTCCGGTCCCGTACTCATGCCCAATAACAGCAAAGCCGAAATTCAGTAAGTGACTTTGAGAAAGAATATCCAAAAACCTCAGTCACCCACATGGAAGAAAAAATATATTTGAAATATATTTTTAAAATATTCTTCCCAAATATATTGACATATATTTGAAATGCTATAATTTTGGCTGTATTCAATATATGTCAAAATATATTTCAATAAATAAATATATATATACTGCATGTTGAAATGTGTTTTTTTATATACCGTATTTACCGGCGTATAAGATGACCCCCTACTTTTCCTGTTAAAATATAGGGTTTGAGCTATACTCGCCGTATAAGACTACCCATCTTCCAACGCACATCAACTAAAAATGAAAAAACATCAGATTTGATTTCAATATGGTATACCAATGATGGGGCACTATTCCTCCCACTGACACCAATGATGGGGCACTATTCCTCCCACTGACACCAATGATGGGGCACTATTCCTCCCACTGATACCAATGATGAGGCACTATTCCTCCCACTGATACCAATGATGGGGCACTATTCCTCCCACTGATACCAATGATGGGGCACTATTCCTCCCACTGACACCAATGATGGGGCACTATTCCTTCCACTGACACCAATGTTGGGGCGCTATTCCTCCCACTGGAAGTGGGATAGTGCTCCATCATTAGTGTCAGTGGGAGGAATAGCACCCCATCATTGGTGTCAGTGGAAGGAATAGTGCCCCATCATTGGTGTCAGTGGGAGGAATAGTGCCCCATCATTGGTGTCAGTGGGAGGAATAGCGCCCCATCATTGGTATCAGTGGCAGGAATTGCGCCCCATCATTGGTGTCAGTGGGAGTAATAGCGCCCCATCATTGGTATCAGTGGAAGGAATAGTGCCCCATCATTGGTGTCAGTGGGGAGGAGGAATAGTGCCCCATCGTTGGTGTCAGTGGGGAGGAGGAATAGTGCCCCATCATTGGTGTCAGTGGGGATAATAGTGCCCCATCATTGGTATCAGTGGGGAGAAAAGTGCCCCATCATTGGTGTCAGTGGGGGAGGAATAGTGCCCCATCATTGGTGTCAGTGGGGAGGAGGAATAGTGCCCCATCATTGGTGTCAGTGGGGGAGGAATAGTGCCCCATCATTGGTGTCAGTGGGGGAGGAATAGTGCCCCATCATTGGTATCAGTGGGAGGAATAGTGTCCCATCATCGGTATCAGTAGGAGGAATAGTGCCCCATCATTGGTGTCAGTGGGGGAGGAATAGTGCCCCATCATTGGTATCAGTGGGGAGAATAGTGCCCCATCATTGGTGTCACTGGGGGAGGAATAGTGCCCCATCGTTGGTGTCAGTGCGGAGGAGGAATAGTGCCCCATCGTTGGTGTCAGTGGAGGAGAAATAGTGCCCCATCATTAGTGTCAGTGGGGGAGAGGAGCGGCTGCTCCTTCTTTCAGTTCGGCCGCTTGATTTTCGCGGGGCCGTTCAGCTCCGCCTCCTCGCCAGTAATTGGTCGCCTGTGTGCCTTTCCAGTGCTGGCGCCCAATCACCGGTGAGGAGGCGGAGCCGAGCGGGCGGCGGGACCATCGCGCGGCCGAACTGAAAGGAGCAGCCGCGCTTCCTGGACCGGATCGTCGTGGGATCGGGACCGGAGCCAGGTAAGGTACAGCAGCCCCTCTGCCCACCCCTGTACTTGGTGTCCGTTGGAGGAGGGGGGGGGGGCGGCGCCACCCCTTGAAAAAGTGCCGCCCTGACACCGGCTCGCCGTATACCGGCGTATAAGACGTCCCCCGACTTTTCAAAAGATTTTCACGGGTTGAAAAGTCGTCTTATACGCCGGCAAATACGGTATATTATATTACAAAATATATATAAAATATTTTTAAAAAAATATATTTTTTTCAAATATATTCTTCAGATTTTTTTTAACATATAAAAAAGTCAGTTTAACATATATTTTTACATATATTTGTAAATGCATTTCAAAAATGTACATTAAATTTATTTTTAAAGACATACGGTATATTTGAAAATGTATTTTCAAAAATATTTTTCATATATTTTGTAATAAAAACGCATTTTAACATACAGTATATGTATATATATATATATATATATATATATATATATATATATATATAAATATATATATAAAATTTTTGTATTTCAAATATATGTCAATATATTTGGGAAGAATATTTTTTAAAAATATATTTAAAATATATTTTTCTTCCATGTGGACGGCCTCGCAAGAACAAGTCTGCTTGAAATATTTCCTGACAGTTCACAAGATACAACCAGAGTAGAATATGCGCTGCACAAACTGTTGGCGTGATGTAAATCCTGTATAATAATATTAATGATATGACGATGATTGTTAAAAAAAAAAAATCTGTACATTTTATCAATAAAAGAATTTTACACCATAAATCGACTTGGGGGCCATGGCCTTGCCCCCCCATTATAATATTATATAATTTGTTGAGATATTCTCTTCATTTTCCATTGAAGAAGTCATATGGCTGGTGATAAAACGCGTCAGCATGGAGCTTAGTGACGTCATTACGCTACCCAGAAGTAGCTGTCAGACTGCTTGTTGAGATGCTGAGGTCTCTATCTGACAGGAGGCATGTGCCTGAATGGCATATAGCGATTTGATTGTGTATCCATTCATTCCACTCATGTCTCAGATTACACTCACCTTCCTGTTCCATGATGCATAAGGGTTTACAACCACTTATCATGCCAATGTGTACGTTGAATATGGCACGTAGTTCAAATTGGTGTCCCCAGTACCTTGTGTTAGCCAAATTTTGCAAATGGCACTCCCCCTTGCCCCCCCCCCCCCCCACACACACACAGAACACACACACACACACACCTCAGGTACATCATCAATCAGCCGTCCATTTATTGCGACTTCTACTGAGCCAGCAGAAAAAGTCCAAAGTAAACAAGAATTGTAAAAGTCTATTTTTTCTGCGGAGGATACTTTGTTATCTGTGTTTAAGGTGTCAGTTGCAAACTTCTTATAATCATTTGTCAATGTCATGGAAAGAGTCTACAGAGAGGGACGATGGAGCTCATTAATTCCAAGGCCTTTTCATAGACGAGGAGATGGATCTCAGTATAGAAGGATCCCTGTAACCTTGTTTTTTTTTTTTGGAGGGGGGGGGGGGGGGGATTTATGACTGTTCTCTGAAGAGATCCTTATGGATGAGAATTACTTTACTAATAAAGCCCCGGCCGTGGAACTGATTACGTCGCCAAAATGGAAAAACAGCAATGAAATATTCAAGAAATGTCAGCCTAATAATAAAAACAGAAGGGGGTATGGAAGGAGATGCTGGGGGTTGTAGTTTGGATTAAATTTTTACTTCAATGATTTGCCATTTTGGCTTCTTTTATATTTTGCCCAGCTCCTACTGGGCCAATCAGGGGCTGGGACAAGGAGCAGGTGGCGGGGGCAGCTGCCCTGGGTGCCAGGGTTTAATGTAGGGATGGGGGGGGGCTTTCCTTTTGTTACAAGGCTGACAGGAGTAGTGACAAATGCAACACTACTCCTGTCAACCCAGTACTGAGAGCAGCGAGGAGAGGAGGCAAGAGCAGGCAGGTGGTACAGGCTGTGTTTTCACTCCCCCTCCTCCTTCCTGCCAGTGTGGTGCTCCTGTATTAACAAGCAGTGTTCACAGACACACAGGAGCTGTACTAGCCGGGAGGAGGTGGGGGAGAGATTTTGCCATTTTGGCTTCTTTTTTTACTTTGCCCAACTCCTACAGGGCCAATCAGGGGGTGGGATAAGGGACGGGTGGTAGGGCAGCTGCCCTGGTCGTCAAGGTTTACCGTAGGGATGGGGGGGCTTTCCTTCTGCTACAAGGCTGACAGGAGTAGTGACAACGACATCACTACTCCTGTCAGCCTAGTACTGGGAGCAGAGAGGAGAAGGGGCAAGAGCAGGGAGGCGGTGCAGGCTGTGTTCTCACTCCCCCTCCTCCTGGTTGTTAGGCTGTTTCTTGAGCTCGGCAAATGTTTTTCATTGATTTAAAACAGAAATAACCACATTTCTCCAATAAGCCTTTAAGTCTGGTATGAATTTTAAAGGGAACCCCATGCCAAAGCAAAAAAAAAATGGTGTGCCCCCCCCTTCTCAAAATCCATGCCAGACCCTTACCCGAGCATGCAGTCCAGGAAAGAAGGAGGGGATCAAGCAAGCAGTCCCCCTCCCTCCTGAACCATTCCAGGCCACATGCCCTCAACATGGGGGGGTGCTTTGGGGAGGGGTCCCCCCAAAACACCTTGTCCCCATGTTGATAAGGACAAGGGCCTCCTCCAAGGGTTGTGGGGTTGCGGGCGGTGACTTTTTGGAATCTGGAAGCCAGATCCCAGCCCCTCCTCATGTGAATGAGTATAGAGTACATAGTACCCCTACTTATTCACCCCCAAAAAATTTCAAAAGTAAATAAAAACAGAAACACAGTTTTTAGTAAAAGAAATAAATGAATAAAAAACATGTCCCCCCCTGTATACCCAGCATCAATCAGAATGAATGCAGAAAAAAAATCGCTTCCCTCCATCCAGAGACACTAGCTGAATGACAGGTAAGCATGGGGGCGGGGCCACCCGGTTCACAAAGATTGTGAACAAGCCAGGAGTGGTGAAACGCATCAAGGAAGTTATGGGTGGGAGATACTATGCATGCAGTCATTTTGCTGATGGTTCAAATAAATACGGCAAGAAGAGCTTGTTGGAGTGCGGCTTCCATCTTTTTTACTTCCAGTGGTGAGCAGAGATGAGCTACAGGAGCTGGAATTTGGAGGGTCCGTGAATGACAGAAGGAGTGGGTGCTGTGAATTTGGGTACGTCTTTACGAGAGGTGAACACAGCCGCATGTCTAAAGATGTTAAGAGGCCGGTGACCTTGTTGGTACACATTGCCATGGTTGCAGGTTGGCCAAACTTATACCACCTGTCATGTTTGGCAAATTTGAGCCATTGAAGTGCATAGGACTGCACCCAACCACTCTGCAAAAGCAAGCTGGTAACTCATGAGGAGGCGACATATTGCCACGAGCCACCTGTCAAACTGGAGGCAAACACAGAGGTAAAAACATGAAATGCATACTCCAACAAGTTCTTCTTGCCCTATTTACAGCAAAATTACCCAAAAACACACTTTCTTTATGATTTTCGCTAGGATTGTGAACAAGCCAGGAGTGGGGAAACATGTCAAGAAAGTGTGGTTATGGGTGGGAGATACTATGCAAGAAGAGTTTTTTGAAGTGCAACTTTCATCTTTTTTACTTCCGAAATTGAGCGTAGACAAGCTACAGGAGGAGTGGGTTTTGAGTGGTGCTGAAGATCTTGTTGGAGTGCGACTTTCATCCTTTTTACTTCCGAAATTGAGGGTAGACGGGCTACAGGAGGAGTGGGTTTTGAGTGGTGCTGAAGATCTTGTTGAAGTGCGACTTTCATCCTTTTTACTTCCGAAATTGAGGGTAGACGGGCTACAGGTTTTGAGTGGTGCTGAAGAGTTTGTTGGAGTGCGTCTTTCATATTTTTTCTTTCCAAAATTGAGCGTAGACAAGCTACAGGAGTGGGTTTTGAGTGGTGCTGAAGATCTTGTTGGAGTGCTACTTTCATCTTTTTTACTTCCAAAATTGAGGGTAGACGGGCTACAGGAGGAGTGGGTTTTGAGTGGTGCTGAAGAACTTGTTGGAGTGCGACTTTCATCTTTTTTCTTTCCAAAATTTAGTGTAGACGGCTACAGGCGGAGTGGGTTTTGAGTGGTGCTGAAGATCTTGTTGAAGTGCGACTTTCAGCCTTTTTACTTCCGAAATTTAGGGTAGACGGGTTACAGGTTTTGAGTGGTGCTGAAGAGTTTGTTGGAGTGCGTCTTTCATATTTTTTCTTTCCGAAATTGAGCGTAGACAAGCTACAGGAGGAGTGGGTTTTGAGTGGTGCTGAAGATCTTGGTGGAGTGCGACTTTCATCTTTTTTACTTCCAAAATTGAGGGTAGACGGGCTACAGGAGGAGTGGGTTTTGAGTGGTGCTGAAGAGCTTGTTGGAGTGCGACTTTCATCTTTTTTCTTTCCAAAATTTAGTGTAGACGGGCTACAGGCGGAGTGGGTTTTGAGTGGTGCTGAAGATCTTGTTGGAGTGCGAATTTCATCTTTTTTTTACTTTCCGATGGTGGGCAAAGATGGGCTGCTGGAGAAGAAGATCTTGAGTGTGTGCTGAAGAGCTTGTTGGGACTTTTTTTTTACTTCTTTGTCTACCTTCCATTTGACAGGAGGCTCGGGGCAATATGTCGCCTCTTCACCATGAGTTAACCAGGTTGCAGAGTGGTTGGGTGCAGTCCTGTGAACTTGAATGGGCCACGTTTGCCAAATATGACAGGTGGTATTATTTTGGCCACTCACAAACATGTGTGCCAACATGGCCACCAGCCACCAAAACCTCTTGCCGCCCAAGAATGTGGGTTTAATGCTCACACACCGTACATGTACATCCATGGGTGGGCAAGGTTTCTGTGTTAAGAGCTCGCTTACTGCGACCAAGCTATTCCGGTCACTAGTCTTGTCTCTTGTACTAATCAGGATCTGGTGGGACCAGCTGCTGATCTTGTAACCATTGTGACTGGCTATCGCCATGGTCACGTGATCAGGCAGACCTTCCCACCTCCCTGGTATATTAACCCAGCTGAAGGGACACCAGGACTGGGAGGGAAGGAGTTAACTTATGGCTTGGCAGTAAAACCATAACTCATTCACCTGTCTTTGGCTTTGTTTAGACATGTGGCTGTTTTTACCTCTCATTTGATGGGCAGCCTGATAGCAACATGTCACCTTCTCACCGCAGCATGCAATTGAATGGGTTTCGTTTAACAAGCCTGCTGAACAGAATTGTGATCACATTGCAACCATGGCCAATCACCATGATAATGTGATTTGGAAGGGGTTAACTTAGGCGGTCAAGGGGGCAGGTGGTAAAACCAGACAAGACAGGTGGTATCATGATTGCGCTGCAACATTGGCTATGTGTTAGTACATGGCCACTAGCCATCTTAACCTCCTACCACCTATGTAAAACATACATGTGATGACAAAGAGGGTGGGCTTCAACCCCACACACCCCACACATACTGTATGTATCCATGGGCAGCCAATGCTTCTGCGCTTCAGGGCAGAGACCAAGCTGGAATGATGGTTCCCAGTCTCAAGTAATGATGAGTAGTGACAGCCACTCATAGTGGTCCCATGACCAGGTAGACCTTCCAGCTCCCCCCCGCCCCCCCAGGGCTGGGCAGGAAGGGGTTAGTTTACAGTATCCATTTTTTATCTATGAAAACCACAAATGCTCAAAGCTCTTGGAAGTAGATTTGGACCCAATCGCTATGTAGCACTACCCCCTTAGGAATCGCTAGAGATTTGGGTCCCCCTATAGTCCTGCACAGCCAAGCAGCATGCATTTTCTTCAGACCTTGAACACAGGAGACAGTAATCAGCCCTTCAGCTTGTTTTTTTTTAATTTTATTAAGGGTTTTGAACTTTAATGGGTTAGAGGGGTGTATGGGATACCCAGGGTAACTGTAAACTGAGGATAAACTTTTTAACAACTATGTACAAGTCCATAGACAAAATCGTCTTCTTGAGAGAGCTATCCAGCCTCTCCTGGTCTATATCCTCAGACCCCAGATGAATCTCTTCACCCAGCTGCCTAAATGAATCCTTGGGTAAGGGGGCCTAGAAGTTGCCACTTTAGAATCAACAGTCCCAGATGGGGGCTAGCCAGGTTTTCCACCAGAATGCCCTCTTCCCTTATCTGGTCCAGGGTTTGTGGAATCACTCACTCAGTCCTCTCCTGCAAGCTTGTGGGTTGGTGATTGCCTTCGGGCCTTTCGCTGAGCTGGCTCCTTCCCTGCTTCCCAGGCTGTCCTCTCAGGGGACGATTGAGGATGAGAAATCGTCGCTTTCAGTTCCTCCACCTATAGGTAGGTCCCTCTACTGGGCCCCCTCCCAGGCTCCTCACTCCAGCCTGCTCACTCCATCTTCCACCCAAACTCTTCTGTTACTGAGCAGGCTCAGTCACTCTTAAAGGCTGTCCTGACGACATGCCAAGCCTCCTGCTTGGGGATTGGCCAGGATCCCTTAAGAGTACAGACCAGCTCCTCCTCACCCCCGCCCACTGGATTCTAGAGACATCTCCAAGTCTTTAGATCAAGGGGAGGTATCAGTGAGCTGATCTGCCGAGCCTCTCCGCCCTGACCAAAAGTTGACCCTTCTAACTACAAAAAATAATCATCTAACTAGGAGGGTGCTACAACTAAAATCTCATATACGTAGTTTAATGTTTATTAACACTGCTGTTTTCATTAAAATAATTCTTGGTCCTGCCATGAAGGTCCCTGTTCAGCCACTTCCTGTTATATGGTGACAACGCTCTGTTCCTGTCTCCCAGTTGGAATTTTCTTGCTGGATCAATTTGAAGATTTTAGCTATGGGCTTATTGATTTGCTTTACTAAAGATATTCAAGTAATCAGCTATTGTAATTGCAGGTCAAATATTTATTTTGGTTTTCCTATCTTCCAAAAATAATTATATTTAATAACAATAAGTAAAAAAAATACACTGTGTATATATATATATACACACACACATATATATATATATATATATATATATATATATATATACCAGATAGATAGATAGATAGATAGATTATTTTATTTATTTTTTTCTTCACAATACTAGGTAATATAGATACAGAGTATACATGTTACAACCCTAGGGTTGTATTATTTAAAAAATGGCATGTACATTCGTTCTGTGCAAATGGGATTTAGAAACAAATGTTACTGGGCTATGTTCTCTCCAGATCGAATGTAATTCTTTCATTCATTAACCCCTTCCTGTCCCTTGCTGGTGCCCTTAACTTGATTCTTATGAAAGGGGGCAGACCTTATTCATTGATTGGCTGCCACAGTGGTTCTGCTGGCTCCTGGTCATAACCAGAGACCGGAACTGTCCGTGACAGCTGTGCTGGGGGTGAGCGGGGAGTATTCTGTATTCTCTGTGTTCTTGTGACAACGCTGCTCCTCAATGCATACAGTACTGTGGGTGTTGTCACCCTAGTCCAAGAAGTGTGTTATTGGCTGAATCACTAGGTGTGAAAAAGCCTAAAAAAAAGGAAAAGGATTTCAGCCACCAAATCTAAGGACTGGTCGCCTGAATTTGATTACCTTTTTGTTGGGTTTAGATATGCCTTATGGAATGCCTCATGTAGTCCTTACAGTGATCTCCATTCAAACTGCTTTCTTTTATTTTCCAGATGGTTCTCCCGAACAAGTAACAACAGTGAATTCAGAAACCCAAAAACAAAATGTCCCCAAAGAAGATCCACCAGCCAAGTCATGCAGATCCTGAGGGTAGTGGGACCCAGTCATTTGGGCTGGGCAAGAACAACACTTTAACCTCCTAAAGTTGGATCCATGCTCCTCAACCTTCATCCTTTGTTCCAGTTTAGAACCCAGGGGCGTCAACAAATTAATTTCCTTTATTGGTGATGGTACCTGTTGCTTCATATTTAGAACTTTAGGTTACCTTTTCTGATCTTTCCAGCTTGAAATTCAGCAATGCTCCCACAGATGTCAATTAGTCTAATGTCACCAACGAGATGATAGATGATGATAGATGATAGATGATCAAGATATTTCAAAAAGCAAAATGTCCCCAAAGAAGATCCACCAGCCAAGCCACGTAAGACCTGAGGGTAGTGGGACCCAGTCATTAGGGCTGGGAAATAGGAACATTTTAACCTCCTAAATTAAGATGCATGCTCCTCAATTTCCACCCTGCGTTCCAGTTTAGAACCCGGTGGCTTTGGAAAATTCACTTTCTCTGTTGGTGATGGTACCTGTTGCTCCATTTTTAGAACTTTAGGTTACCTTTTCTGACCTTTCCAGCTTGAAATTCGGCAACGCTCCCGGAGACGTCAATTAATCCCCTGTCAACGGTGAGATAATGATCGTTGCCTTCAAGATATTTCAAGACATTTTCTCTTTATAACAAGTTTGCCGAAATAGAAGAGAAGCTGGAGTAAAGGACACGATTGTTATCTCACCGGTACTGATAATAGAAGCTTATAGAACTGAGGTTTCACCGTACCCGGCAGTATATGTAAACCTTTTTTTTTTACTTTATAGTTTAAATTGTATACAACCCATTAAATGACATAAAATACAATATCATTCTTACAAAAATTAAAGGAGAAAGGAGAGAGCGCGGAGGCAACCCTGAGGATTTGGCAACTAACTGGAAAAGACAAGTATTTTGTCAACACCGCCATTGAGGTTAATTGTGGGACACGGCCAGTACAGAGATGGATGACAGCCGCATCCAAACCCTCCTTCCCAGGAGGAAGATGTTGCTTGAAATTAACCTGTGCTGTTGACCTCAATGAAAAAGATCCTGTGTTTAATCACGGTCTTTAATAAAATAAATCAATCAGACCCTGACAGCTTCCGTTCTTTTCTTTTTTTTTTTTATTGTTATCTGGAAAACAATTAAACACATCCTCAACGCTGGAGCTCCAGACGAGGACATATTGTACCGCGGTTGTTTTATGTGTTTAACGAAGAGCGTAATAGATTTCTGTTCGACGTCTGGTGAGGCCAGCTTAAAGACCAACTCCAGGCTAAATTTTTTTTCTAAACAAGGTTCCTCAGGTGTTATTTAAAAAAAAAAGGTTTTGATTGCAATACTTACCTTTAGACCTAGGGCTCTCCATCAATATACCTCTTCGTGGACTCGAAGGTGTTGATTTACTAAAACCAATCAGCTTCCAGGTTTTTTTTTTTGTCAATGCTTCACTGAACAAGCTGAAGTTAGAAGCTGATTGGCTGCCCCAGAATTTTCACTCTCCAGTTTAAGTAAATCAACCCCAAGGCATCTTCAGCCTTTGGGCTTGATGACACCAAGCATCACTCAATCCAGAAGATTGAGTACATACTGTTAGTGGTGCCATTGCTCTGTCTTCTGAGGGGTTGTCAGAATGGCACCCTTTTGTTCAGAGTGTATTAAGGCAGAGGTTGGTGCTGACATCATCAGGTTAGCACTGTTCTCTGGATCAGTAAGTACCTCCAAGCCTGGAGAAAGGCAATATGGAAAAAGACCCCACAGCATCACTTGACCACCTTGAGGACTTTGCAAAAGGTAAGCAATAAAATTAAAAAGCAAAGAAATACTGCCATTGGAGGGGAAGAGAGTCTGATTTTAGGACAGGAATGGAGCCTGGAGTTGGCTAAAGTGATCCTGATGGTTCCTAATGTAAGGGAACATAGTAAATACTCCTCTATTCTACTTTTGATCTTCATATTCTGCACCTGCCAAACAATCTTGTCCATGCAACACACTTCTGAAAGGGTCAGTTGGCTGCTATCACGCTATACACTGCAGTTTTTCTTCCACATCACTACTGTGTTCTGTGACAATGTAGAGGTCAGTGGGAGAAACCACAGAGAGGGCGCAGACAACTGACACTCCCCGAAGTGTCAGATGAAGAGGTGTCAGGACCCGGCTCTCTACCTGCAACTTCTGCTGTGTCTGTTGATGTCCCTTCTGAGCCACCTGAAATGCTGGACAGCTCCCTAGACAATTCCTTGAATAATCCTGCCTTGAACCTTGTTTGTTTTGAACCTTGAACTCTTTTGCTTCTCCCATGAACTTCCTATTAAAGCCATGCTTTTGCACCTCCTGTTTGCTAGATCATTGTGCTCTCTCTAGCCAATATCTCGCTCTTGTCTCTCCTGAAGCTGTCCATCTCATTGCTATCACGCATTATCAACCTTTGGCTTGTTCCTCAACTACACTTCTGCCTGATCCCAACCTGCAACCACTTGTTACCGACCTTTGGCTTGTTTACTGACTACATTTCTGCTTGATCCCAACCTGCAATATCTGCTACTGGACCTCACCTCCTGTTGTGGTGATCCTGAGGACCACAATCTGGTACTAACATGAAGAAAAACCCATCTCCACCATCAGGAGCTCTGTGGAATACTGGTTAGTACTTAAAGTGGTAGTACACTCTTTTTTTATACTTTTACCTACAAGTAAGCTTATAATAAACTTTACCTGTAGATAAAATTAATATCTTCTAAACATGCACCGTTTAGAAGATATTCATTCTTTTTGAGAGCCGGCAAATGCGCCTCTGAAGGAAAGGCATACCCAAGTACTTTCTTCAGAGCACTGTGCCATGGTCCAAGACGTCATCACGGCTCGGTCAGTCAGATGGCCAGAGCTTTGCGAACCCGAAAGGAAGACTGGGTGAAGTTAGAAGCCTCTGCAGTGGTGACAGGTGCTGCTGGAAGGCTTCTTTTTAGGGTAAGTCCTTCATAATGTGCTAGTATGCGATGTATACTAGCACATTATGACATTACTCTGCAAGGGATTTTTACATTTTTTTTTTTAAGTTGTGGTATACTACCACTTTAAATCCCACGCCTTGGGTGAGCCTGGATCATTTGAAAGGGTGACCTGCTTGCATACCTATCTTGCTGGTCGGTGGGATTCTCTCTACTGCTATAGCTACTGGTCTCCGATTCTAACCCCATGACCGTGACAAGAGGATTCTTCCAGCAACAGCATGCCTTCAAAAGAAGACACATCGGTAGCACAGGAAACTGGGTATTAAAGACAATCTTCACCCTCTACCCCCATTTAATTTTTACTTAATCCTTAGTTTACATATTCACCTACCCAGCATTGTCCCACTGGGATCCACGTCTTTGTTGCTTCAAACCAAGTCCAGCGTGGCCATCTTCTTCCATGAAGTCATTGGGAGTCTATCTGGGTCCAGCAGTCGGCACCCGATGATGTGCTGCCATGCCCGCCCTCCGACCACATCTGCTGAAAGGTAATCTATGCCTACGGGGATACGTGCTGTCATTAAAATTGGAGGGTATTGGTCATCACTTCCACCAAAAGTCCAAGGTGTAATAAAAGTCCTACAAGAAGAACCAAACTTTTAAAGAAGAAGCCAAATAGTTACCTTTCCTGCCACCCACACCACTCAGTAATGCTCCATCTCCAACCGAGATTTCAAGAAGTGTCAATCTCTGTGGTCTCCAGCGGCTCTCCTTGATTCCTCCCTCTGACCTCAACTCACTATGGTGTCCTACAGTGATGTATGTTCAGAGGGAGTAACCAGTGTGACCAATAACATTAACAGATTGAAAAATGGGAAATTCACTCAGGAACATCTCAAAATATACAGTATGTGGAAAAATACCCATTATTATGCGGAAAATAGAAAACAATACAAAAAAAGGAAAAGCAAACACCTTTGCATAACATACTTAAATGGACATCGCACTACTGAAGGGTCCCTACTCTCCAACAGAAACTTCCTAAAGTGCATATTCGATTGAATTTTATATCCCAGACAACTGTCTGTATTCAACAATATAAATTCTATGGCCCATCGATAAAATTCATGATGGATGTTTCTGCAATAAAAAAGTCCCCTATTATTATTATTTATGGCAAATATATAACACAACAATAGTAATTGAATCTATGTTTGTATGTCCACCATTGCTTCCTCAATTTCGGTGATAACAATCACAGCATATATGAGGAAAGCATATTTCTCATCTCACATAACTGTCAGCAATTTTTCCTGTGCAGATAAGATTTGTTTACCAGAGATGGTGAGATCTATAGATACGTAGTACATATGAGTTTGCAAACGAGACAGAATTCTGACACAGGAAGATTACCGTTTATTGAATAAAAAATCAACAAAGGAAGCATGTATACCACCACTGTTCAGTAGGGTTGAGGTCAGGGCTCTGTGTAGGACATGATTTCCTCCACACCAAACTGGTCCAACCATATCTTTCATGGAGCGGACATTGTACACAGGGGTACAGTCATGCTGGAACAAAAAAAGAGTCTTCCCCAAATTTTTACCGCAAGGTTGGAATAGCACAATTGTCTTAAATATCTTTGTATGTCATAGTATTAACACAAGCCTTCTGTGGGGTTGAGGTCCAGGGTTCTGTGTAGAACACTCAAGTTCCTCCACACCAAAATGGTCCAACCATGTCTTTATGGAGCTGGCTTTGTACACAGGTATACAGACATGCTAGGACAGAAAGAGCCTTCCATAAAACTGTTGGATGCTCACAATTGTTTAAAATGTCTTTGTATATTGTAGTATTAACCCAAGCCTTCTGTAGGGTTGGGGTCCAGGGTTCTGTGTAGAACACTCGAGTTCCTCCACACCAGAATGGTCCAACCATGTCTTTACGGAGCTGGCTTTGTACACAGGTATACAGTCATGCTAGAACAGAAAGAGCCTTCCATAAAACTTTTGGATGCTCACAATTGCTTAAAATGTCTTCATATGTCGTAGTATTTACACAACCTTTTAGTAGGGTTGAGGTCAGGGCTCTGTGTAGGACCCTTTACTTTCTCCACACCAAACTGGGCAAGACATGTCTTTTATGGAGGTGGCTTTGTACACAGGGGCACAGTCATGCTGGAACATAAAAATAATTTCATAGCCTGTTACCAC